GAATCAGCTTCATCCCCCCAAAAAAGGGCTCAGGAAGGGGAGGGGGATGAGCAGAGTGGGCTCCATCCCCAAAAGGGTTGGGAAAGGGGAGGGAGATGAAGATGAGGAAGAGCAGAGTTGGGTCCATCCCCAAACAGGGATGGGGAAGGGGAGGGAGATGTGGATGATCAGAATCAGCTTCATCCCAAAAAAAGGGGCTGGGGAATGGGAGTGGGATGAAGATGAGGAAAAACAGAGTTGTCTCCATCCCAAACAGTTGGGGAAGGGAAGGGGGATGAGGATGGATGATCAGAATCAGCTTCATCCCCAAAAAAGGGCTGGGGAGGAGGATGAAGATGAGGAAGAGCAGAGTTGGCTCCATCCCCAAACAGGGCTGGGGAAGGGGAGGGGGATGAGCAGAGTCAGCTCCATCCCAAACAGGGAGTGGGATGTGGGAGGGGGATGAAAGTGAGGACAGTCAGAGCTGGTTCCATCCCAAAAAGGGCTGGGGAAGGAGGAAGGGGATGAGGATTAGGATGATCAGAATCAGCTGAATCCCCCCAAAAAGGACTAAGGAAGGGAATGAGAATGAGCAGGGAATGAGAATGAGCATAGTTGGCTCTATCCCCCCAGAAAGGGCTGAGGAAGGCTGATGAGAATACCCTGAGGGAATTCACACGATATTCCAAGGGAATCCCACACACACTCTGCTCAGCCCTTTAGCTCAGCATAAAGTTTTAATTAGGGTTTATCACCCTAATTAGGGTTAATCACCCTAATCCTTGCACTAGCCTGAGCAGCAGCCAGAATTCCTTCCCCTCTCCCTCCTTTCCAACCAGCTCCTCCCACAGAGAACCTTTGGAACTTCCCTTGGCCCTGGATATTGTTGGAAAAGCAGGAAAAACTCAAAGATATAAACCCTCTGTCCCCCTCTCACCCTGTGGGGACAAGCCAAGGGGGCACTTGGGGACCCAAACTTGGGGTCTGTGCACCCTCCCAGTGGGGACATGGTGACATAGGGGATGGTGCTGGGGGAGATGCTCCATCCTCATCACCACAGGGATGAAGGCAAAAGGACAAGGTGACATGAGTCCCTGTCCAGGGATCAATGCTGATAGAGATGCTCCATCCTCATCACCACAGGGATGAAGGCAAAGGGGACAAGGTGACATGTGTCCCTGTCCAGGGGACAATGCTGATGGAGATGCTCCATCCTCATCCCCACAGGGAAGAAGCCACAGGGACAAGGTGGGGTGGGAGATGCTCCACCTTCATCCCCACAGGCAAAGGAGCCAAGGTGACACATGTCCCTGTCTCCTGTGCTGGTTTTCCCCCTTATATCCCTAAAATTCCCCCTCCAAGCCCTTCCCTGGCTGTGTTTAACTCCCTGCTTTCTCCCTCACTCCGTGCCAGAAGAGGAGAACATTCCCACCTGACTGTTCTGCTGAGCAGAGCCAAAAGGATGATCCAAGCCCCAATCCACACATCACTCGCTCCCACTTTTTCTATGACCTGCCCAAATGCACCTCCCTCCGAGCCCAACCTCGGGAGGGGCTGAAGCTCTACTTCCTGCTCCCTGGCATGGCCATTTCCTCTTTTTTTTTCTTTTCCAAGGGAAAATCCCTGTCCTCAAACCTTTTCCAGGAGGTTTGACACCAAGGAGCACAGGATAGGAATACTGAGGCTGTTTGGGATGTAGGGATGGGCACTGCACTTAGATCAGAGCTGGGTTAATCCAAGCTGGAATTTCTGGGGAAGTTGGAGGCTGAGTTATCTCTGAGTTGCTCCTGGGAACAACCTCAGTCCCTCCTGGAATCAACCTCAGACCCTCCTGGAATCACCCTCAGTCCCTCCTGGAATCAGCCTCAGTCCCTCCTGGGAACAGCCTCAGTCCTTCCTGGGCATACCCCCAATCCCTCCTGGAACCAACCTCAGCCCTGGGAACAACATCAGTCCCTCCTGGAACCGACCTCAATCCTTCCTGGGAATAACCCTCAGTCCCTCCTGGAACCAACCTCAGTTCTGGGAACAACCTCAATCCCTCCTGGGAATAACCCTCAGTCCCTCCTGGAACCAACCTCTGTTCTGGAATCACCCTCAGTCCCTCCTGGGAACACCCTCAACCCTTTGGCAGGAGAAATCAGGGATTTGTGGGGTTGACTTGTGCCCTAACTGAAGGGAATTGCTCAGGGAGGAGGGGCTGGGAGAGGGAATTCCACCTGCAGCCCAGAAATGGGCTGGAAAAAGAGGAAATGGTTACTGGAAAGCTGTTGATTCTGCTACTTACAGCTCTATTTGCTCTCTCTGTAAATAAACCCTAGCTGAGGCCTGTATCCATCCTCTCCCTGTTTCCTGCAGACATTCCCTATCCAGCTTCGTCAAACTGTAGGAAGACACAATAAAGGAATATGCATGATGTGAATGTCCTTCATTTCTCCCATTCTCTGCCTCATTCCTGTGTCCCAGAGCTCGGAGCAAGGGATCTCTCCCAGCCTTTGCAGCCATTCTGGACTGTGCATGGATATCCTGGATCTCTGGATCCCACCTGGATCCCCACAGGGATGGGATGGGGATCACCAGGCCATCACCATCCCAAAGTCCTTCCTGGGGAGCACCAGGTGGGATGAAGTTCCTGGGGAGGGTTGGATGAGTTATGCCATAGAGTAAAGCCATTCCCTTCCACTCCTGGAATTCCTTTCCTGGAAGGGAATTGTCAGTCAGGCAGAGACCAGAGAGTTTGGAAAAGATTCCAGAATAGGAATCCACTCCCTGGAGCTGCTGCAGGCACCACGAGGCTCCCCCTGAGGTGTTTCCAAGTGTCTTCAGAACATTCCCACCTCCATCCCAGAGCAGAATTCCCATTGGGAATTACAATAGGAAGTGAGATTTGGGCTATAAATAAGCAGTAATTATCCATAATAATATCCATAATAATCCCAATGGACAACAGCATTCCTAGCATGTTCCATCTGTGCCAGCACCACCCAAGTCCTTGGGAGCAGCACAACACCAACACTTGTGAGTGATAAAGCACCAGGAATGTTTCTATTCCAAGAATTCTACCCCATTCCCATCAAAGCTTTTCCCTTCCTTCTCCAGCTAAGCAGAAAAAAAAAACCAAACCAAAACCAGGGGAAACTCCTGGGAAAAAAATGAAGAAGAAAGTGGAGAAAAGGCTAAAGTCTTTACTCACCATTTTAATACTGCCAACAAGTCTAACAGATCCAACTGTACACAGGACAAACTGGGAAGAGAGTCTGGATGCAGCCCTGGAGCAGCAAAGGAATGCACAGACTGGGCAGGGACAGCACTCCAGGGAAAACCATGGCAAACAGGGATTTGGCACCACGAGGACAAAGGAAAGGCATGCTCAGAGCTGGGGCTGGGCAGGGAGGGCCATGGCAAAGGCAGCACAGGATTTATCCAGCCTTTTCATCCCAAAAAAAAGCACAGGGATCAGTGGGTTAGGAGCCACCCAGGGTGGGCTCAGCTCCTGAATCCAGTTGGGAATGTTCCCCATGGAGTTGGGGTTGTGCTGAGCATAAATCTCTCCCAGTATCAGCAGGAGCCTTTCCCAAAGCCTGGGGAGGAGCAGGATGGGAACAAACCACACATGGAAAAACAAGCTGAAGCTCAAAGGAGCCTTTGGGAATTACAGAACTAGGAAATCCTGCCCAGCCCAA